AATGGTTCGGCCGGGCAGGTCGTGGCAGAGGTCGGCCTCCAGGGGCCTCTGCTCCTGTGCTGGTCCCTGGGGCCGTCCAGGAAACGACTCGAGGCGGGGCAAAGGCAACGAGGAGAACGATGATGCGACAATTCGTACAAGGCATCGGTAACTAAAACTGCGCCAAGCACTAAACTAAACTTGAAAACCAGAATCCTTGCCAATTACCCTGGCGACGTACCCAACCCCTGCGCAACACGGGGCATGAATAGCTTGGGAGACGTTGTACGGAGGTGATGACGTGACATGGGCGCATATACTTCTGCAAGCGACATTCGTGAAGCTCGCAGCCCCCCAGGGATTGCGATGTCCCGCTCAGATCTGCCTGGTGCCTCGCTCCGCTGGGCCCACCAGCAGCCCTCGAAAGTGGCAACAATTTCGCAGATCGCACCCCCCCAAGGACGGCGAGGTCCCGCTCAGATCCGCGCGGTGCCTCACCCCGCAGGACCCACCAGCAGCCCTCTAAAGTGGTGACAATTTCGCAGATCGCAGCCCCCAGGGGCGGCGAGGTCCCGCTCAAGCCCGCGCGGTGCCTCATTCCGCAGGAACCACCAGCAGCCCTCGAAAATGGCGACATGTTGCGTATCGCAGCCCCCCCCCAAGGACGGCGAGGTCCCGCTCAGGTCCGCGCGGTGCCTCACTCCGCAAGACCCATCAGCAGCCCTCGAAAGCGGCGACGGTTTCGCAGACCGCAGCCCCCCAGGGACGGCGAGGTCCCGCTCAGGCCCGCGCGGTGCCTCATCCCGCAGGAACCACCAGCAGCCCTCGAAAATGGCGACAATTTCGCAGATCGCAGCCCCCCAAGGACGGCGAGTCCCGCTCAAGTCCGCGCGGTGCCTCGCTCCGCAGGGCCCACCAGCAGCCCTCGAACGTGGCGACAATTTCGCAGATCGCAGCCCCCCAGGGACGGCGAGGTCCCGCTCAGGTCCGCGCGGTGCCTCACTCCGCAGGACCCACCAGCAGCCCTCGAAAGTGGCGACTGTTTCGCAGATCGCAACCCCCCAGCGATGGCGAGGTCCCGCTCAGGTCCGCGCGGTGCCCCACTCCGCAGGACCCACCAGCAAGCCTCGAAAGTGGCGACCGTTTCGCAGATCGCACCCCCCAGGGACGGCGAGGTCCCGCTCAGGTCCGCGCGGTGCCTCACCCCGCAGGACCCACCAGCAGTCATCGAAAATGGCGACAATTTCGCAGATCGCACCCCCCCGCAGGGATCGGTCCAGCCCTCAGGGTCCGCGCAGGTGCGCTCACCCCGCAAGACCCACCAGCAGCCCTCGAAAGTGGCCAGATCGCAGCCCCCAGGACGGCGAGGTCACGCTCATGTCCGCGCGGTGCCTCACCCCGCAGACCCACCAGCAGCCTTCGCAGATCGCAGCCCCCCAGGGATGGCGAGGTCCCGCTCAGGTCCGCGCGGTGCCTCACCCCGCAGGACCCACCAGCAGCCATCGAAAGTGGCGACACTTTCGCAGATCGCAGCCCCCCAAGGGCGGCGAGGTACCGCTCAGGTCCGCGCGGCGCCTCACCCCGCAGGACCCACCAGCAGCCCTCGAAAGTGGCGACATATTCGCAGATCGCAGCACCCCAGGGACGGCAAGGTCCCGCTCAGGTCCGCGCGGCGCCTCACCCCGCAGGACCCACCAACAACCCTCGAAATTGGCGACCGTTTCACAGATCGCAGCCCCCCAGGGATGGCGAGGTCCCGCTCAGGTCCGCGCGGTGCCTCACCCCGCAGGACCCACCAGCAGGCCTCGAAAGTGGCGACAGTTTCACAGATCGCAGCCCCCCAGGGATGGCGAGGTCTCATTTGGGTCCGCGCGTGGCGCCACTGTGCTGGGCCCCCCAGCAGGCCTCGAAAAGTGGCGACAGTTTCGCAGATCGCAGCCCCCCAGGGATGGCGAGGTCTAATTTGGGTCCGCGCGTGGCGTCACTGTGCTGTGCCCCCCAGCAGGCCTCGAAAAGTGGCGACAGTTCACAGCTCGCAAACTCCCCCCCAGGGATGGCGAGGTCAATTTGAGTCTGCCGTGGGCGTCACTGTGCTGGGCCCCGCCGCAGGCCTCGAAGTGGCGACAGTTTCACAGATCGCAGCCCCCCAGGGATGGCGAGGTCTAATTTGGAGTCCGCGCGTGGCGTCACTGTGCTGGGCCCCCAGCCGGCCTCGAAAGTGGCGACAGTTTCACAGATCGCAGCCCCCCAGGGATGGCGAGGTCTAATTTGAGTCTGCCCGTGGCGTCACTGTGCTGGGCCCCCCAGCAGGCCTCGAAAGTGGCGACAGTTTCACAGATCGCAGCCCCCCAGGGATGGCGAGGTCTAATTTGAGTCCGCCCGTGGCGTCACTGTGCTGGGCCCCCCAGCAGGCCTCGAACGTGGCGACAGTTTCACAGATCGCAGCCCCCCAGGGATGGCGAGGTCTGATTTGGGTCCGCCGCGTGGCGTCACTGTGCTGGGCCCCCCAGCAGGCCTCGAAAGTGGCGACAGTTTCACAGATCGCAGCCCCCCAGGGATGGCGAGGTCTAATTTGATCTGCCGCGTTACCCTCTATGCTGGGCCCCCCAGCAGGCCTCGAAAGTGGCGACAGTTTCACAGATCGCAGCCCCCCAGGGATGGCGAGGTCTAATTTGAGTCTGCCCGTGGCGTCACTGTGCTGGGCCCCCCAGCAGGCCTCGAAAGTGGCGACAGTTTCACAGATCGCAGCCCCCCAGGGATGGCGAGGTCTAATTTGAGTCTGCCCGTGGCGTCACTGTGCTGGGCCCCCCAGCAGGCCTCGAAAGTGGCGACAGTTTCCCCCCGCAGGCAAGACAGGAGGAGGCAAGAAGGAGGCGGGACGGGAAGAAGGGGGTGGAGACCACACTGCTCTATTCAAAACGAATACCCAACCAAGGAGGGTTGGGGAAAAAAACGACAATTCGTACAAGGATAGCAAGATCATAATCCTTGAACATGCGCCAAGCACTAAACGGTAACTGAAGTGACCAACAAGTGAGCAAAAAGTGACCAGTCGGACCCCCCCATCTATGACCCCCCCATTACCTCGCGGCCAATTGGGGAAGGGGTCGGGACCTCTGGGAGCCTGCGTCGTGACAAAGTCACGATGTAGCGGGATCTGGGAAGGGGGCGGGGAGGGGTGGGTGGAGGCTTCGCGAAGGTAGGGGGAGGAGGGTCTGGGGAGCGGAAGAGGCGATTGGGCGCCGGGGGGGAGGGGAGATGTCCACTCCCCCAAACAACAGCAACCAGTGGAAGCACCCACCCCAGCTCTACGGCGACTCTGCTCTGCCGCACCCCGAAGACCTCCACGCTCTGAGGCCCCCCCAGCCGCTTGCGGTCGTCTCTTCCCTCGCATCTCCCCTCCCCCTTCCCGGAGTGCCGCAATTAGATCCGCCTGTGTCCCAGCGCCGCCCGCCCGCAACTCAGATCCGAGACGCCGCCGATCAAACAAAACATGCGTGTGGCGCATGCGTCATTTGGCGGCGCGCACAACGGGGTAGGGGGAGGGGAGAAGGCTTCTTAGAAGGAGGCTGCTTCTTAGAAGGCGGCGGCCTTACATCTTTAGACAATGCCCGCGCCTTCTTAGAAGCAGGGGTGCTTCAAAGAAGCCCTCCCCCTCCCCCTACCCCCCTTCTGCGCGTGGCCGAATGCTGGCGCTCTGGCTTCTCCCACGACCTGGCCGCCCGCCTGGGTCCCAGATGCACCCACAGGTATTTCGCAGAGTCGTCGAAGTGCATTCCGCCCATCTGCGGTAGCTCTTGTTGCACCGTGCGCCAGGCGACTGTCGGGTTCGATTCAGCGAGGTCCGCCGAAACGCAGTTGTCCACGCCATACTTCGCCAAGAGCGACAACACTAGTGAAACGTATTCCCGCCCATCCCGAAGGGCCAGGGGAGTTGGTGAGTGCGCCTGGGACCATGCGGCGAATGCGGCGCAGCTGTTCCCTAACTTCCCTCCTCTGCTTCTCAACTGCTCCTGCCGATCTCTTCGGCGTCGCCGCACCGAACGCCCTCTGCTGCGGAATTCTCCGTTGGCCGAAGCAGCTGCGTGCCGATTTGCAGCGGCAGCGCGCTTCCTTCGGCAGAGAAGACGGGGAAGGGTGGGCAATGCGGCAACGGGGGATCCTCAGCGCACCTCTGCAGAGAGGCAACGGGCAGCCTGCAGCGGCTGCCGATGCCAACCTGCTCTCCGGCCGCTCGTTGCGCGGGCAGCTGGCCGGCAAGCCCCTGCAGAACTGCCGTCTGGCTCCGATCCGCGAAGCAAGAGGGACGGATGAGTACAGTCAACCCGCATCGTAAGGATGGGCAACCTTCCCGAGGGTACCCCTGCACCCCTGCCTCCTCGGTCCATCCTTGGCCACTGTCGTTGGCCGCGCCCCGCTGGAGAAGCTTCAGAATGGGCGTCCAAGGCCCGTGCATCCTGGTCGCGCATCCTTGTGACACGGGCCGACCGTAGGAGGGAGCATGGAGGAGCCTGGGCCGAGGCACCGGGCAGCCGATGGAGAAGCAGCACGGGGAAGGGTGCACAAGACAGGCGGGGGCACGAGAGGGCAGCTGCGCACGGCCAGGCGAGCTGAAGCGCTCGTGCGCGCGAGGGCGAGCCCTGGCCGTCGTCGCCTCCCCGCGGCGGCGAGTGGGGCGCACCGGAGGGCACCGGCCCCTCTGGGCCACAACTCCGGCCGAAGGCGGCGCGCTGCCTCCAGGCGCCGACTCCAGCATGCGGAAGATGGGCGGAGGTCCGCCGACATTCCCATCGCCCGGATGCGGGCGTCAGGGCAGGGCTCGAGCTGAGCGGCGTGTTCCGTTTTCGTCTCGTTTTCGCTTTCCCTCGTTCTCTCTTCGCTCCGCCTCTGCGGCCAAGCGGCGTCCAAACGAACGCGGCCCATGAGATCGCCCAAACACCGTTTCGCTCGAGCCCTGCGTCAGGGCGAGGCCGACGATGCATGGACGGTGAAGGGGAGGAGAGCGTGCTGATGGGTTCGGGCCTCCGTCTTCTGCCGCTCGGGGACCTCGGAGCCGAAGATCTGGGGGGGTCGGGCTCTCTGCGCCCTCGAGGCACTGTTCGCTCCTGCACGCCCCCCCCCCCCCCCGCCGCTCCCTTCCCCTGCAACTGCTGCTGCCACTCCCCTCCCGTCTTCCTCCTCTCATCAGCTCGTCCCTCTCCCTGCCCTCGCCCCAGCCCTGGTCGCCCCTCCTCACCTTTCCTCTTCCTTCTCCCACTCCTTGTCCCTCTCTTCTCCTCCCCCTCCGTCTCCTCCTTTTCTCACCGGCTGGGTGGGAGGAGGAGGACGAGGAGGAGGAGGAGGAGGACGAGGAGGAGGAGCAGGAGGAGAAGGATGAGAAGGAGGGGGAGGATGAGGAGGTGACCGAGCGAGGGCCTGGTCAAAGCCGCAGCTCGGCCCCGGGCGCCACAGTGCGTCGCACTGGGCCGTTGGTTGGTGCCCCCTCCTCCCAGCAGTGCTTCAGCTCGCCGCTGTTGCTCTCCGCTTCCAGCGCCCTTCCCCCTTCCTTCCCCACCTCTTTCGGCGGTGGACAAACCTCCCTTTCGTAAACCTCCCTTTTGTGAAATCGGCCTGGGACCGAAACCGACGGACCTGGACCCGCAAAAACGACGGCCGCGACGCCCCCTCGCGAACCGAAAACGGCCAATTCGCCAATCGACGTGTCAGGGCAGGAGGTCTGTCCTTCCCCACCTCTTCGGCCCCCGTGCCCCCCCACGTGGGCATCTCCTCCTCACCCCCTGCTGCTCGAGCTCGCAGCCGTCTCGACCCGCATCTGTCTATGGGGCAGGCCTCGCGAGAGCCGCTAGGGGGGGAGGGCAGGCTCCAGTCCGACCATGGCGCACTGCGCTCGGAGGCCTGGGCTAGCTCCTCTTCCTCCTCCTCCCTCCCTCCCTCCCTCCCTCGTCGTCGTCGTCCTCCTCCTCCTCCTCCTCCTTTCTTCCTCCTCCTCCTCCTCCTCCTCCTCCTCCTCCCTCCTCCTTCCTCTTCCTCTTCCTCTTCCTCTTCCTCTTCTCTTCCTCTTCCTCCTTCTCCTCCTCCTCCTCCTCCTCCTCCTCCTCCTCCTCCTCCTCCTCCTTAGAGTGTGGCTCTGCCCTAGAGGCCTCGAGGGCGGAGAGAGAGAGCATCGTGCTTCGCGCTGCGCGCGGGGCAAGCGCACGAGTGCATCCAGGCGACCCGGCGGGAGCGGCGGAGGCCTCGCGAGAGGCCAGGAGTTCCAGAGCCAGGGATCCAGGAATTCCCATCTCAAGGATGCAGATCCAGGATCCAGGAGCCAAGAGCCAAGGATCCAGGATCCAGAGTTCCAGAGCCAAGGAATTCCCATCCAAATCGAAAGCACACTGGAGAGTGCCGACCCCAGGGCTTTTCGAGGCATGGCCGGAACCGCATTTACCGGGGCGTCTGAGCAAACACCCTCCCCATGGATTCGTTCCACCGCGGCCAGGAACATCCAGGAGTGAGGAGAGAGAGAGAGAGAGAGACACTGGGGAGGAGGGACGAACCAGGCGGAGGGAGGCGAGCGGGGGGAAGGCGAGGAGGGAGGGGGGGCGAAGAGAGAAGGGAGAGGAGGGATAGGAGGCTAGACACGAGGGCGGAGGGGCAAGGTGTGAGCGGGCTGGCCCCAGCGCCTGTCTCGGTGCAAGGCCCCGACGTCAGGCCCAGTCGTGCCCTCCGACTCCCTGAACTCCCTGCCCCCCAGGCTCGAGCCATTCCGTCTCGAGCCCGCGAGCGCCAAGCGGGGGTGCGGCCACCCGCGGGGGCCGCTCCTGAGAGCCGCCCGGACGGCGGCCCGCCACGACGGCGCCGGCCTCGTCGGCGACGTGCAGGGCGGCTTCCCGGCGATCGGCTGCATCCCCCCCCGCGGCACCTGGTAACCGCCCGCCCGCCCGGCCTTGATGGGTCTGCGGTGGTGGCACCTTCCTGAGGGCACCGCAGGTATGCACCAACAGAAGACAAGAGAAGCAGGTGAGGGAGCAGGGGACCAGCCTCATCAAACGGCCCCCGACCTCTCCTGGGGCGCGTTTCGAACTTATTTTCGAGGGGGATTCAACCATGCCGACGAGAAGCAATATGGTCCATTCCTTTGAAGCGCACATGGAAAGTAGTCAGCATTGACCCCACACAGTGAGTTAGTGCAGTGCGGAGGTGAAGGACACGTTCTGTAAACTGCGCGGGGTTAGCTATGTTGTGTAAGTTTTGCGGTGTGAGCGATGCGGTGCCAACTACGCTTTGGAGCCTATGTGGTGTAGATGATGCCGTGTGCGCTGTGGTGCGAGCTGAAGCGTGCGGGCTTGAGGGTGGAAGCTGCGTGGCCTAAGCTATGCTGTGTCAGCGATGTGGCGCTACGTCGTGCAGTCTATGTGGTGTGAGCTGAGCGGTGCAGCATAACTTGCGCAAGCCCTTCGTGTCACCTATGCCGTGCGTGGTGTAAGCGCACGGGGCGCCTGCGCGGCGCCCCCGGACGGGCACGGGCGAGACCTCGGGGCGCCCACCCGAGCGCGGGGCGCCCGCGGGGCGCCCGTGAGGCGCCCACCAGCCAAGCACCGGGCCAAAATCCCAACACTCGCCAACGCTCGGACGTCCATTTCCCGTGCATTTTTCGGTTTCGTGCGTGTTTTCTTTTGCTCGATGGTCCAGGATCGTCCTCAATGGTTCTCGCCGAGAAAACATGCACACGTCCGAGCGATGCCAGGGACACGCATGTACGGCTCCTGAAGCAGGAAAGGCTGTGTGGTCTGAGCTGTGTGCGTCGGAAGCGGTGTGGCGCAGCGCAGGCGGTGCGGGCGGTCTTGGGCCGGCTCCGCCTCGCGAGTGCCGCCCGGACGGAGCACCTCGGGAAGCCCCCCCCCCGAGCGCGGGGCGCCCACGAGGCGCCCACGAGGCGCCCACCCACCGGGCACCCGCCGAAGACCCAGACAGGGCCGATCCGGCTCCTCGGGCGAGCAGAGCTGTGTCCGACCAGCCACAACTGGGGGAGCTGTGGTCCTTACCCCCCTGGGGGAACCCATCGCATCGACGATCTCTCGAGAGGGGTGTCGAACTCGAGGGGTCCCCCAGGGGGGTAAGGACCACAGCTGCCCCAGTTGTGGCTGGCCTGCGTGTGGTATGAGCTGTGTGCGGTAGGCTTGTGTGTTCGCCCTGGCCACGAGCGCCACTGCGACGCCGGGGGGGCCCGACGGTCTGCAGGCGCCCCCGGGAGCTCGCCGCGCGAGATCGGGCCTGTCTGGAGGCCGCTCCTCGCCCAGCGCTGCTTCGGGTGCCCGGGCGTGCAGCCACGGATAATTCTCATCACGATCATGGATTGAGTCGGGCTTGTCCCCCTACGGGCGGATGTTGGACGAAAAATAAAACATCGCCCAAACATGCCCTGAAAATATTCAAAACATGGTTAAACAACTCGTCCCCCGACTACTTTTTTGACTATTTTTGATGAATGCTCCTCCTGTAGAGGGACAGGCCCGACGTAAGAATAGAGCACTGGACTGCGCACGAAACAGGCGCAAGAGACCCTGGTGTCGGCCTACAGTCGGGACGTTGACCTAAGGAACCCTAAACAAGGAACGAGGCCCCTCTTTCCCATCAGTGAAGGCTCGATTTCCCATCGAAAACCTGAGGACAACCTAGGGCAAGCTGTGAAACAATCAAGGATCACGGAGCCCCTCCCCAACGAAAAGGGTTCCTTCTTCAGCGCCTCGACTGTACAGTCATCGGCCTGACCTAAGGAACGATAAGTCAGGAACGAAGCCCCCTTTCTCCAGGGAGTGCCGCATAAGGAACGACAGATCATACACAATGCAAAAGGAACGATAACTGGAACGATACGCCCACGGGCGCCCGCCCACCGGGCGCCGTCCGGACGCCTGACAGACTGAGAACGGTTTAAAGTACAATCTGAGGTCTGAGTTGAGTTTAAGTTAAGTTCGCCTAAGCACAAGCTATCTCAAGTTCCATCCGAATTGTGGCGCAGGGCTTAAACCTATCTGAAACTTAGTTTTCTGTGACAAACTAAGAACGGTTCAAGTACAATATGAGTTGACAACCAGTCAGCCTGACAGTTCAAACAATTTAAGAACGGTTGAAGTACAAACAGTTTAACGGCCTGAGTTTAAGAACGGTGTAGCCAATCAGCCTGAGTGTAACAACGGTCTGAGTTGACAACCAGTCAGCCTGACAGTTCAAACAGTTTAAGAACGGATTAAGCACAAACAGTTCAACAGCCTGAGTTCAAGAACGGCTTCACCAATCAGCCCGAGTTTAACAACGGTCTGAGTCGACAACCAATCAGCCTGAGCTTAAGAACGGTTTAAGTACAAACAGTCAGCCTGACGCCTGACAATTAAGTTGAGTTTAAGTTAAGTTCGTCTACGTACAAGCTGTATCAAGTTCCATCCGAAGTATGGTGCAGAGCTTAAACTTGTCTGAAACTTAGGCTTCTGTGTCCCCCGGATGCTCAGGGCAGCCACCTCGCGCAACCGGCGCAAGAGAACACCCCTGCAAGAGAACACCCCTGCATGCAAGCACTGCTGGGGGAACAAACAAAACGCCCCCTGCTCCGCGGCGCCCGAGAAGAGCCTCGCCCCCGAGAACGAGGGGGGCGCAGCGGAAAAGAGGCTCGGGGGGGCCCCATTCCAAAGCCGTGTGGCGACGGACCGCGTGGTGACCTCGGACTCCGCAACGACCTCGCCGCGCGGTCCGTCCCCGCACGGCTCCGGGACCTCGGGGGCCCCGGCCGCCCGAGGCCTCCTCGGAGAGCGGCCCGCGTCCCCAAGCCGTGTGGTGAGCCCGGGTCCCCACGGACTCACCGCGCGGTGTGTTCACCACACCGTTTGCTGGCACGCCCGATACGGTGAGGGCATTGGGTAAGGAACCAATGGACAAGGAATCCAGGGTCTCGAAGCCATTGCAACTTCGATCGTGGATTGGCCATGGACATCACCGCCGCCCTTATTAGACAAGGGAGCCTCCAGGGTCTGAAACCTCCTGGGCGCATTTCATAACCAACACCCCCACCGGATGGGTACGGAAATCATGCCCAACAACAAGTTTTGTTCAAAACCGGCAGCGGCCGCAGTTGGGCAGGCGGCCTTCTGGCTCAAGTGGACAACGGTTGCGGCGACGCCGACAGCGAATCCGGTTCAGAATGAACAAGAGCTGCTGTTGGGCTGCGTGGTGACCCCGAGAGGTGTTTAATACCTCCTGCAATATTGGAAACATGTATATGTCCTGGGGCATATTGACGGATTGGGGCGCAAACGATACTCGGAAAGCAACTGTTCCGCCGCCGCCGTCGCGGAGGAAGAACAGGAGAGAGGGAGGGGCAGGAGAAGGAGGAGGAGGAGGAGAAGGAGGAGGCGGAGGAGGATGAGGAGGGGGAGGATGAGGAGGGGAGTAGGAGGATGAGGAGGAAAAGACGGAGGAGGAGGAAGAGGATGAGGAGGAGGATGAGGAGGAGGAGGAGGAGGAGGGAGGAGGAGGAGGAGGAGGAGGAGGAGGGGAGGAGGAGGAGGAGGAGGAGGAGGACGCGGACGGGGGGGGGGGGCGGGCCTGGGGCTTCGAGCGCGACCCAGTGGCGTCATGGGCCTGCGGCCGGGCGATGAGGGTGCGCAGAGATCGAGGAGGGCTTAGAGCTGGGACCCAGGAGGAGGGGGGGAGGGAGGAGGGGGGAGGGAGGAGGGACGAGGGAGAGGGGAGGAGGGAGGAGGATCTCCTCGCTCTCCTTCTCATCCTGCTCCTCTGCTCCTCTCCCCACTTCCTCGGCGACGGGGGAGGGCGGGAGAGTGGTGGAGGCAGGAGGTCCGAAGCGGAGGCGGGAGCAGTGGAGGAGCGAGACCTGGAGCGGGAGGCACGAAGAGCGGGACAGGGAAGGCGAAGACGCAGGAGCCGCAGGAGAGGGACCGGAGAGCGCAGGAAGCCAAAGAGCTCTCGGGGCCACGTCACGTGAAACTTCCGAGAGCCTCAGTGCGAGGAGGAGGGGGAGGAGGAGGAGGAGGAGGAGGAGGAGGAGGAGGGGGAGGAGGAGGGAGGAGGAGGAGGAGGAGGAGGAGGAGGAGGAGGAGGAGAGCAAGGAGGGACGATGGAGAAGGGGATGGGGGGAGGGGGTTTTATTGGAGCTCTCTTGGAACCCTCGCGGGGCCTTCTCAGGGCGCGGGGAAGGGCCCAGGGAGGGCCCCGGAGGCTCCCACAAAAAAACCCTGGCGAGGTCACCAGAGAACCCGCAGCACATTGAAATCTGTTGCGGGTGCTCCAGTGGGCCCCTTGGGGCCGCCTTGAACATTTCTTGGAGCCGTCGCGGGGCCCTCTCTTGAGCAGAGACCGACCGTCCCGGCATTCCTATAGGCCTACCACGACATGTCCCTCGAACCCCAGAATGTTCTTAGAACAAAACCAATGTTCTTAGAACATAAGCCCGCTGTGTTAAAGCAAAACAGCATCGGCCAGGCATGTTCTAAGAACATTTCGTGGAAACCGCAGAAGGTTCTCAGAACAGTCGTTGGTAGGCCTCTAGGCGAGCCAGGACGCTTCGCCACTCCTTGACTCTCAGGGTCTGGGAGAGCTCTGAGCTTTTTGTTGCACAGCAGCTGGCCGAACTAAGTGCACATGTGCTGGCGGCATCTGACGACGGCTGGCTTCGCTGCCGCGTTTCTGGCCCAGCGGGCTCGGCGTGCCAGGCTCCTACGCGAACGTCAATATTCGCGGAACGCCTGTTTGTGAGGCCGCCGGCTCAAAGAGCTAAAGGGGAAGAACAGGAGGACGGCGGCGAGAAGGAGTACTGAGGACGACAACGACAAGGGGAAGATACGAAGAGGACAACGAGAAATAATGGGGTGAGGGGTAAGTAATCTGAGAAAACTGCAGGATGCGGGGCGCGCGGGGCACCTCGCTGGCGGGTGACGGGAAGCGCCTCTTCGGAACAAGAAAGTAACGGGTGTTTGTTAGGCCATACCGAATACGGAATATAAAAAAAACTGAGACGCGAGGGACGACGGGCTAGCCGCTGCTTTATTTAAGACGTGTCATGTTGAAAACGAGGCTCGCGCTTGAGACATTCTCGAACAGATGAGATGCTGAGATCGCTTTCGAAGTCCCTCGAGTATTTGTAAATGGCCGCTTCGCTCGAAGCATCATCGAACAGCTGAGATGTTGAAAGATCTGCTGTTAAGACGTGCCATGTTAAACATGAGGCTTTCGCTCGAGACATCCTCGACACACCGAGACGCTGAGATCGCGCGCGAAATCCAGCGACTTCTGAGAAATGGGCGTTTCGCTGCTCGAGGCATCCTCAAGAAATGAGCTTCGGAGGGGGATCCTGAGATCATCAAAACAACAATTGTGCTCAAGACACCCTCTACAAACCGACTTGCTCGCAACTTCGTCTTGGCTCTGTCCCCACGACGGCCCAAGAGGTCCACAGCACGGCTTCATACGCGTTCAAGACGACCCAATGCATCCAAGAAGACCCAATACGGATTCCAGGCGGCCCCAAGGCGGCCCTAAAGTGCTGTGAGAACTATCATCAGCATCACCATCTTCATCCTCCTCCTGTCCTCCTCCTGTTCCTCCTACTCCTCGTCGGCGTCGTCGTCGTCGCCGTCGTCGTCGTCACAAGCGTCATCGTCATCCGCATCATCCTCGCTATTCTTAGCATCGCATTGTCATAGCCACCGTCAGCGTACACATCTCAACGCGTGCAACACGCCTACGACGCGACGACCTCCAGAGCATACACACAACCGAATGCTAGCGAACACCGCACACTAACCATATGCATGCCGTGCTCCCTCGGCCTCCCGCCGCCCAAGTACACACCCCACACGCGTGCCGTGCGCCTCCCCCGTCACGCCAGCCCAGCACGCGCCTTACACAAACGCTCTCGCACACGCGCGTAACCGCATGCAGCCGCACACGCAGGCACATGGACAGACGGACACACGCACACCGCCGCACACGCAGGCACACGAGCACACAGCCGCACACCCGCACGTGCAAGCCCACACGCACGCCGTGCTCCCTCGGCCGCCCGCCCCCGCAGTACACGCCCCGCACGCGTGCTCTTCGCCTCCCCCGCAGCCCCCCCCCCCGCCCAACACACACCCTGCACAAGCGCGCTCAACATAACCCCAAGCGGCCCCCAGATAGCCGGCTGCACGCAAGCGGTGCGAAATCGAACGCGGAACGTTGCACGCAAACGGTAGTTGAGCCTGGACGTAAACGGCTCTCAATCGATATTTGTGCTGTACCGTTTGCGTGCAACATCTCGCTTGGAGCAGTTGCACAATTTACATGCAATCGACCGTTGCTGCGCAAATGGCCCTCGGAAAGGCAACATTGCCCAGAACGGCCCAAGATGACCAGCTGCACGTAAACGGTGCGAGATCAACACGATACATGTAATGCAAGCAATACAAGCTTGAGGCTGCACGTGAACGGTACGCTATCGATGACTGTGGTGTACCGTTTATGTGCAACCTCTCGTATTGCACAACTGCGCAATTTACATGCAATCGACCGTTGTTGAGCAAACTCACGCCGTACACCAACCCCTGCCCGTTTCCCCCAGAACACGCCCCGCACGCACGCCGGGCCGCCCCCGCCCGTCCCCCCAGAACACGCCACGCACGCACGCCGTACCACCCTCCCCGTCCCGCCCGCCGAGCACACGCCCCGCGCACACGCGCGCACGCACGCACCCGGCCGCACACAGCTGCACGCAGAGGCACACAGGCACACAGGCACACGCAGGCACACGCACGCACGCACACGCGCGCACACACACAACTACACGCACACACAACACACACGCTCATACATACAGACCCAGACCCAGACACACACACAGGCACACGCACCTCTACACCTCTACACCTCTACACCTCTACACACCTACACTCACCTACACACACCTACACACACCTACACACCTACAGGCACCTACACGCACCCACACACACACACACCTGCACACACCTACACACACCTACACACATCTACACACACACACACCTACACACCTAGACACCTAAACACTTACACACATGCACACACACGCAAACACCTACACACACCTACATACACGAACCTATACACACCTACACACGCACACACACACTCACACACACACACGCACACAGACACGCACACACAGACACACACACAGACACACACACAGACACACACACAGACACACAAACACATACACACACGCATACACGCACATACGCAGACACAGACACACATACACCGGCCACGCATTACAGCGGACCAAAGCAACCACAGGCAACCACTAAACCCAAGCTAGAAGGGGCAATCATCTGGGCGTCTAAGGAATTCCAGGGACTGCACCGCATGTGCGGACGTTTTTGCTGGTTGCAAGTCCGTGCGCGCGTGCGCACGCAAGCTCAGGAAAACGGCGCGTGCGCACGCAAGCTCGGGAAAATGACCGTTTCGCTCGAGACATCCTAGAACAATCGGCTCTGGAGAGGACTCCGAACCAGCATTATCTTGGAATCGCTCCAGGAGGCCTTCAAAACGACCCAAGAGAGCTCTCGAAGGCCCCCCAGGGGACCCCAGAAGCGCCCAGAGGGGCCTCCAAGAGGCATCCAAGAGGCCCCCAAGAGCGCCCGATGAGGCCCTGGGACTGCTCAAGAGGGCCCCAAGACGGCTTACAAGATGGCGTCAAGATGGCCTGAGAGAGCCCGCACAGAACCCTAAGGCATGTCCAGACAGCCCAAGATGATCCCAGTAGCCCCCAAGAGGACCCCGACGGGCCCCCAAGAGGCCAGCAAGACGACCCAAGACAGCCCCAGACGGCTCCAACAGCCCCCCAAATAGCCTCAAAAGATCACGAGGACCCCTCTCTTCTTCGACGTCGTCTTCGTTGGGCTCCTTACCGTCTTTCTTGGTCGTCGTCGTCGTCCTTTTTCTTCTCCTTTTCCTCCTCCTCTTCCTCCGCTTCGTTCCTCCTCGTACTCGTCCTCCTCCATCTCTTCCTCCTCGTCCTCGTGCTTGTCGTCCTACTCGTTGTCCTTATGCTCCCCTCGCTGCCCTCCCCGTCATCCACGCTGCCATCCTCGAAATCCTCCGCCTTGTCGTCGCCATCATCCTTGTCTTCTTTCCCCCCCCCACGAGCCCAATGGATAGCATCGGCGCTTCCCGCTCTTGTCCGAGCAGGCTTGTTGCTGGCACCCGTGGGCCGCCTTTAAACATAACCCCCAGCAAGTTAGGCCAACCGCAGACATGCGTAATATCACGATCAGAGCTCCCCCCCTACTTGAGCAGGGACCGACCGTCCCGGCAGTCCTATAGGCCTACCACGACAGGTTCCTAGAACCCATAACTGTTCTTATACGAAAACGCTGTTCTCATAACATAAACCGATGTGCTGAAACAAGGCAGCCCCAGCCAGAAACGTTCTAAGGCCATCTCGTGCAGACCGCAAAAGGTTCTTTCGGGTCGGGCGAAAGGGGGGGATAGCAAAGGGGGGGTTTGAGAATCAGCTCGCGTAGCTGATTTTCCCGGCGCCTCCCGGCGCCGGAGGCGGCTATGTATCGAGGAATGGGCCCCTCGGTGGGGCCGAAACCAGCTGCATGCAGCAGATTTCGTACCCCCCCCCTTTCCCAATCCCCCCCTTTCGCCCGGCCCGATTCTTAGGGAACATTGCTTGGTAGGCCTATGGGCGAGCCAGGACGCTTCGCCACTGCTTGACCTACCAAAGGCACTCCGTTGTGCGTGCCCCGTCTCAGCGCATGCTCCGGCCCGCCCTCAGCACGGAAACGATCGCTCCACGACTGGGGCTCAGGCGTGGAGGAGGAGGAGGACGAGGAGGAGAAGGCGAGGGAGGAGGAGGAGGACGAGGAGGACGAGGAGGAGGAGGAGGAGGAGGAGGAGGAGGAGGAGGAGGAGGAGGAGGAGGAGGAGGAGGAGGAGGAAGGTGAGAATGATGATGATGAGGAGGAGGAGGAGGAGGAGGAGCACGCGGAGGAGGAGGAGGAGCACGGTGCTCAGGCGTGCTGTGCAGAGGCACCGTCGGCCTGCTCGCCCCCGCCGACGAGCTGGAAGCCGCGGCGGCGCCGGCAGAGCACCGCCGCCGCTGCGGCGGCCACAGCTCCCGCGGAGAGCATCGCCAGGGAGCCTCCGAGGGCGAGCCTTGGCGCGCCGACGTTGCTGTCGGCGTCGGCCACGACGTACAGGCGGCCCGGGTTCACCGAGACGTTCTTGAGGTCCTCGGCACGGGAACGGTCGCTCAACGACGGTTGCTCAGGCGTGGAGGAGGAGGAGGAGGACGAGGAGGAGGAGGAGGAGGGGGAGGAGGAGGAGGAGGAGGTCCTTTCGGGGAGACGTAAGACTCGGGTACGGGGGACTCGGGTTGGCCCGACGGGGCCATCGTTAAAAAAGACGAGGCCCACTCTGACACTTGACGCGAGCTCCCGCTGCAAACATGCCACGGAAACTGGACCGTCAAAATCCAGGACGCGCTCGTCAAAAAAACGTCGGCTCGGGTCTTGCGTTCCCCTGGTCCTCGAGGGCACCCATCGCATGGTCGATGAGGCCATCCTTCATGCCGTTTAGCTCGGACTCGTGCTCGGCGAAGAAGTTCGTGGTCAGGTCCCCTGCGAGGGAGGCCAGCCCCCCGAGGTCGATCGAGCCGTTCGTGAGGTTGTCGAGCTTCTCGGTCAGCTCCTGGATGCACTCCGCAGTGAGATTCTCATTGCTGTCCCCCTCCTCTGAGGAGTATCGGTCGAGGATCTCTGTCTCACAGTCCCTGCCTTGGATCTGCGTATCGTTACCAATTAATTTCTCGCACTCCTCCTTCGCTTTCTGCGCCAAGGTTTCCTTTACGCCATCGAAGAACTCGCCTGACTTGAACCCGCAGGCATGTTCGATTATGGCGTTGATGCCCTCCTCGAAGCAACCCTGCAAAGTCATGGCGGTGATGAGGCCACCAACCATCCCAGAGAGAACACGGGGACGGAGAAGAGCCATCGAACTTCAAACTGAGGGCCCTTGATTTTCACGTCACAGCCTGCGAGACGGCTAACCAGGACTCGATTGGAAGCCTTGAGCCAAAATGGATACGGAGGGGAAATCTCTAAGCCTTGATGTACTCTTGGGGGTCTCTTGGAGCCTTCACGAGGCCCTCTTCAGGCGATGGGAGAGCTCTGGGTGGAGGATCAAGAAGGCTCCAAGACGGACCTAAGAAAGCATACATAGCACCTGCAACATAATGAAATGTGTTGCGGATGCTCGGAGGGGGGGGCTCTAGGGGTCCTCATGGACCTTCTTGGAGCCATCGCGGTTTTGGGGTTCTGGGAAAGTGCAGGGAGGGTGCCCCAGATACCTCCAAGACCAGCCCTGGAAGGCCTCCAGGACATCTGAAGGAAAACCGAATTTGCTGCGGGTGTTCTGAGTGGGCTTCCTGGAGTCCTAATTGTGCCTCCCTGGAGCTTTGAGGCTCTGGAGAGCCCTGGGATGGGCCAAGGAGCTCCACGAGGACCCCAAGGGGACCCCAAGAAACCCCAAGAGGACCCCAAGAGGACCCCAAGAACCCCCTCCACGAGGACCCCAAGAGGACCCCAAGAGGAAGAAGAGGACCGAATGTTGTTGCGGGAACTCTGGGAGCATTCGTGCGGTCCTATCGGAGCTATCTTGGAGCCCTCGCGACGCCCTCTCACGGCAAGGGGGTGGGCCAACAATGTGCACAACAATAACTCCCAGAGGATCCCACCAAGGCCTCCAGAGCACCAACACCAACACCATACACTCCGCTCGTTAAAAATAGAATCGGTGAAACTAGGTCTCGGCTAAACTAGATCGGAAGTTTCGGTCCCCGACTTGTGCAATTCCGAAAACAAGATCGGCCCGCTTGCATTTTCATTTTCCATATATTAACATACTCTCCGCTCTCCTTTCCATTCGGGCGCCCCCACAAACGCGTGCACCTCGCAATGTGGCGGTCGGCTCGGCTGCGCTGAATTCGATCCGACGAGGCTCCATATACACGGGGTCATTCAAGGGTCGGTCTGCACGGTCAATCCTGCAGGTCACTCCAGGCTCCAGGACTATCCACGGTCAGTCTGGACTGACCCAGGCTGGCACCAGACTGACCCCGGACACCCTGGACTGACCTCAACCCCGACCCCGGACTGACCCCGGACTGACCCGGGCTCCCGACGCACCCCCGACGGACCCCGGACTGACCCCGGCCCAAACGGACCCCGCACGGAGCCCAGACCGGCCCCGGACTGGACCCCGGACTGACCCCGGACTGTCCCCAAACTGTCCCCTGTCCCCGAACTGACCCCGGATTGACCCCGGACTGACCCTGGACTGACCCCAGACTGACCCCGGACTGACCCCGGACCGACCCCGGACTGACCCCGGACTGACTCCGCGGACTGACCCCGGACTGACCCCGGACTGACCCCGGACTGACCCCGGACTGACCCCGGACTGACCCCGGACTGACCCCGGACTGACCCCGGACTGATCCCGGACTGGCCCCGGACTGGCCCCGGACTGACCCCGGACTGACCCCAGAAGACTGGCCCCGGACTGACCCTGGACTGACCCTGGACTGACCCCGGACTGACCCCGGACTGACCGACCGGGACCGACCGACCGACGACCCGACCGACCGACCCGGACCGACCCCCGGGACCCGGACGGACTGACCCCGGACGACCCGACTGACCCCGACTGACCCCGGACTGACCCAGGACCCGGACTGACCCCGGATCCCCGGACCGACCCCGGACTGACCCCGGACTGACCCCCGGACTGCCCCGGACTGGCCCCGGACTGACCCCGACCCGGACTGACCCCGGACTGACCCCGGACCCCGGACTGACCCTGGACTGACCCCGGACTGTCCCCGGACTGGCCCCGGACTGGTCCCGGACTGACCCCGGACTGACCCCGGACTGACCCGGACTGACCGCGGACTGACCCCGGACTGACCCCGGACTGACCCCGGACTGACCCCGGACTGACCCCGGACTGACCCTGGACTGACCCCGGACTGACCCCGGACTGACCCTGGACTGACCCTGGACTGACCCCAGACATCCACTACGGCTCGGTAAAATTAGACTCCCGGCTCGGTAAAATTAGACTCGGTAGAAATAGATCTCGGCTAAAGTAGGTCGGTATCTGATATCTAGTTTAAACGAGTGGAGAGTACTAGATTTTACTGCGGGTGTCATGTTGCTTCGCGGAAGTTCACTAGTGGGCCCGCAGCCCTCGCGGGGCCCTCTAACGCTTCAAGACGAGCCCAATAACGCCTCCAGATTACCCGCTCTGATAATTGTATTTGTTGCGGGTGCTCTGGGGGTGCCTTCTTAGTGTCCTCGTGGCTACATATCTAAACACATACAAAATAATCAATCCAAGTGTCGAAAGGGCGAACATCTTAAACTTCTTGACAGTGTAGAAACGATTTTTGACATTCCCAGAGCCTCGGCGAGCAAGAATCCCGAAACCCCAGACCCCCCAGAATAACAACATAGGAATTATGTTTTTTCTTGAATTGTGGAGCCAGCAGAACATCTAGAACATTTGTGATTCCCAAGAGCCTCGGAGTCCAAACCCCAGGCGGCCAGGACTCTCGAAAAACTCAGCCCCCCAGACTTGAAACCCAAATCCACATGGTAGATATTTGAAATTTTGCGGTGCCGGCGAACATTTCAACTTTTCCATGCTTATGAAATTCCCAAGGCCTCGGGAGTCCAAATCCTGGGCGGTCAGAATCCCGAAAACTCCAGGCCACTTCATACTTTTGCTTTTGTAATAATTTGTTTTCGGTTCCAGGGATCATGACAGTTTTCCTTATGTAGATAAAGTCTCATGTATTTGTGTTTGTTGTAATGTTATTTATTTCGTGTTTCTTTCTCTTTCTATGACTATATATAAGGTATGTCTGCAATCCATATGTATAGAGCCACGTGCGCGCTTCGCGCACGCCAAGGTACTAGTTACAGTTTCGTTACGGCTGCCATCGAAACCACCGCGTCTCTCGCTACGGCATCGACTGCTATCTTTGCTATGGCGATGACCACGGCCACGATCGCTCCATCGCCAGTATACGCATGACGGCCTCCGCCACGACACCTGCACTTACGACGACCACGGTACACAATTGGCCGAACCTCTGCCTGTACGACGACCACCACGGCTGCCACTGCTAGCTGCTATTGCCACGATGTGGCCACTGCCACCATTACCACTGCCACAGCCGCCGCCACGACCATCTCAACCATCGCCAACACCATTACTGGAGCAAATGCAACTGCCACCACCACCACGCCCAAAACCCCTGCGGCATCGCCTGCTGCCCCCGCTGCCCCTGCCGTTCACGTCGCCGCTTTCTGCAGGAGCTCTTCAGCTGCAGATGTGGCTGTGCGCCTCTCCAGGGTACCCTCGGGGTCCTCTTCTGCCTCTTCTGTGTTGGCATCGAGGCCACGTGGGCTGTCTTCGGGCAGTTCGGGCTCTCCTCGACTGCTCTCAGACTGCCTGGGGCCCCCGTGGTTCCCTTTTCGGCTGTTCTTGGGGAGCTTACACCAGTGCTCGAAGCAAATTCGGCCACCCTTGGCGCCTCGTGGCTGCCCTGGGACGCGCGGGGATGTCCTAGGAAGCTCCACGAGGACTCCACAGGGCCTCAACGTGTACCTGGACTGTACCAGACACCGCTGTTGTGTCGGGGGGGGGGTCCGACACACACACATATAGATGTATATGTATGTATGTATGTATGTATGTATGTAGGTAGGTAGGTAGGTATGTAGGTAGGTAGGTAGGTAGGTAGGTAGGTAGGTAGGTATGTATGTATGTATATATACATATTTACATGTATGTTTTATGAATAGTCTTAGTATGCACAAACTTGCATTTCTACACGCGCACATGTAATGTATATTTGTATGCGCACACACACATATATATATAAATGGCCTACATTTAGTACCATACATACGTACAATCAGACATGCAGACATACATGCAGCCATACATCTACATTTATATATATATATATATATATATATATACACCTATCTACCCACCCACCCACCCACCCACCCACCCACCCACCCTCTTACCTGCCTGTCTACCTACCTCTACCCATCCATACACACACAACCATACAGCCATACACATATACATGCATGCATGCATGCATGCATGCGTACGTGCGTACGCACATCCACACGCATACATAACAACACGCACGCATACCAACATACGTGCACGCACACTGCATGCGTACACACAACCACATTTCACACATACGTGCATGCGGAGGGGGGTAGAACGACGAAGAGGAGACTGCGGAGGAGGCGGAGGAGGATGACGAGGAGAAGGATGATGAATAGGAGGAGGAGGATGAGGATGAGGAGGAGGAGGCGGAGGAGGATTGGGGGAGGGAGGGGAGGAGGAGGAGGCGGAGGAGGAGGAGGAGGAGAAGAACGGGGAGGAGGAACGGGAGGAGGAGATGAGGCGAGGAGAAAGAGATGGGAGAAGAGAAGAACGAGGGAAGGATGTATGCCGTGCTGCTGCTCTGCTGATGATGAGGAATGATGATGATGCTGAGGAGATGATGAGTGTCCTGAGGAGGAGGAGGAAGAGGATGAGGAAGGAGGGGAGGGAGGAGGAGGAGGAGGAAGAGGCGGGAGACGAGAAAGCGAGGCTGGGGGGCGGAGGAAAAAGGCGAAACGGGATGAGGGGAGGTGAGAGGAGGAGGAGGAGGGGAGGAGGAGGAGGAGGAAGAGTAAGATGCTGACGAGGACAAGAGGCGGAGGAGAATGAGGGAGGAGTGAGGAGGAGGAGAGGAGGAAGAGGAGGAGGAAGGAGGAGAAAAGGAGGAGGACGACGGATGAGAAGGAGATAAGGAGGAGGAGGAGGAGGAGCCAGAACGAACGATGAAAGGAGGAGGAAGGTGAGACATAATGATGGATGAGGAAGAGTAGGAGGAGGGGAGAGGGGGAGGATGAGAGACGGAAGAGGAAAGAGGGGAGAGGAGGAGGAGGAGGAAGGAGGAGGGAGGAGGAGGGAGGAGGATGACATGAGCGGAGGAGGGAGGAAGGAGAGGAGGAGGAGAGATGACGAGGCGGAGGAGGAAGGAGGACGAGGGGGGCGAGGAGGAAGGCGGGAAGAGGAGGAGGGGGGAGGAGGAGGAAAAGGAGGAGGGAGGAGAGAAGGAGGATGAGGAGGAGGAGGACGACGAGGAGTAGGGAGATGAGAAGGAATTATTAGGGGGAAGGAGGAGAGAAGGGGGAAGGGGGAGATGAGGAATTGTGAGATATATGAGGAGAGAAGCGGAAGAGGAGGAGTAGGAGACGAGAGGATGAGGAGATAATGAGGAGGAGGAGGAGAGAAGGAGAGGGGAGGAGGATTTGAGGAAGAGGATAATGAGTAGGAGGGAGGAAGAGAGGGGAGAATGAGGGAGGAGGAGGAGGAGGGCACGGGGGAGCGAGAAAGTCGACTTGGGAGGAGGCGCGCGAAAAGGACGAACGGAGACGGAGGAGGAGGAGGAGGAGGAGGAGGAGGAGGAGGAGGAGGAGGAGGAGGAGGAGGAGGAGGGCCAGTGTAAACCCAGGAGCCAGCAACGATATTGGAATAACCCCCTCGAAACTCCCTCTTCACAGTCCCCTAAAAGGGTTCATTCCGACTGAGGGAACTGCTTCGTTGGAAGACAAACGATTGAAGACCCTGATGCATGCCAAAACATAGTTCTCGGGATACCGACGCCACGGATTAACCTGTCTGTTGCGCCTTGACGATCCTGAATCGTACCAGAACGCCATTGTTGGGACTTCGCCGCCGCGAATCAACGTAACTGTTGTGCCCTCAATTCTGGTATGCTGATCATGGGAACCCGTGAGACTTTTACAACTTTTGAGAACGAATTTGCGTGGCGCTAAGGCGAGAACCACACTTTCATAAATAGCCGCCCTCAATCCGTGAAGCTCTTGCAGCATGTTAAGAAGAATGTGCGCGGCGCTGAGGCGAGAACCACATTTTGAAAACCACCCGCCCTCAATACGTGACGCCCTTGCAAAGGCTTAAACGAATGTGCGCGGCGTCAAGGCGAGAGCCACATGTTGAAGACCACCCGCCCCCCATGTGTGAAACTGTTGCCATCTTTTGAGCTCCAGGGGCATACATGGTGAGGAAATCTAAGGCGAAACACCCGGACCGCCCTAAAAGCTGGCCCCCGGGTGCGACAGGGAGAAGTTATTTATAATGACGAGGAAGTGAAGAGTGAGAGGGGGAGGAGGAGGAGGAGGAGGAGGAGGAGGAGGAGGATGAGGAGGAGAGGAGGAGGAGGAGGAGGAGGAGGAGGAGGAGGAGAGGAGGGGAGGAGGAGGAGGGGGAGAGGGGAGGAGGAGGAGGAGAAGGGAGGAGGAGAGGAGGAGGAGGAGGAGGAGGGAGGAGGAGGAGGAGGAGGAGGAGGAGGAGGAGGAGGAGGCGGAGGAGGAGGAGGAGGAGGAGGAGGAGGAGGAGAGAGGAGGAGGAGGAGAGGAGGGGGGGGCACGTGGAGGTGGGCATGGGTGAGCGAGGAAGTCGACCACGGAGGAGGCACGCGAGAAGGACGAGGAGGAATCTGAGGAGGGAATCTGAATAGGAGGAAGAGGAGGAGGAGGAGGAGGAGGAGGAGAGGGAGGAGGAGGAGGAAGAGGAGGATAATGAGGAGGACGAGGACGAGGACGAGGAGGAGGAGGAGGAGGAGGAGGGGGGAGGAGGAGGAGGAGGAGGAGGACGAGGAGGAGGAGGAGGAGGACGAGAGGGAGGAGGAGGATGAGAAGGAGGAGGAGGGAAGGGGGTTGAGGGGGGCCTGCCGCAAGCGGCCAAGGTACTTGTTCGTCACGCGGATCTCGGCGGGGGCGCCATATCGCACGTGCAGCCCGATGGTGGTGCTGGTGGCGACGTCCTGGTACTAGATGCCCGCCTGACCGTAGTGGTCAACGAAGGCGGCGGCCTTCGCACTGATGAGCTTGATGCTGTAGGACTTGTTCAGATTGTAACCTCTGATCGTTACCCCATCGGAGTGGTGGGATGGAATCAGGCCCAGCAAGCCCTTGCCGTGCTCCTCGAGCGTAGCGCCAAGCATGGGAGAGACGAAACCGCTGACCCAGATCTTGCAGCCATCCCTGGAAGTGGCGCTGAGCGGGTCCTCGTGCCTGCCGATATGAGCGCCGTTGATGTCGGTGCGAACCCGCTTGTGCCCATTGGGAAAGAAAGAGGCAACACTGCTGGTGCTTGACGAGCCGGTGCTGACTAGGGAGGCAACCTTCGCCTCGAGAGCCTGAAGTTTCGCATGGACACTGCCCTCGACTCCCAAAGCGACCTCCCTCGACTCGAGCGCGTCAAGCCGCGTGACAAGAGCAGCATTTTGCTCGGCCTGGCGCGGAGCTGTGTCTTACTGGTCGGAATCTCGCCAATGGAGGTGTTGATGCTCGCGAGCTGCTGCGTGAAAGTGGCGTTCATGGTGTCCATCTTCACGAAGAGTTCCATGATGCCTCTCTCCATCGCTTCCGCCGCAGATGCCATGGCGTAACAACATGATGCGAGGGAGGCTGGGAGTGCGAAAAAGAGAAGGGGTGCCCGCTCGGGCACGACACCAGAGATCGCCCAATGGAATGGGCTGCCCGCTCGCGCGCGATTTCCCCTGATCACACTTGAACCAAAATGGCAACAGAAGAGGAGGAGGAGGAGGAGGAGGAGGGGAGGAGAAGGAGGAAGAGGAGGAAGATGAGGAGGAGGAGGACGAGGAGGAAGAGCACATGGAGGAGGACGCGGGGACGCGGGAGAGCGAGGTCGATAGGAAACGGGAGGAGGAGGAGGAGGAGGAGGAGGAGGAGGAGAGGAGGAGGAGGAGGAGGAGGAGGAAGAGAGAACGAGGAGGAGCAGGAGGAGGAGGAGAAGGAGAAAAGAGGAGGAGGAGGAGGAAGAGGAGGAGGAGGAGGAGGAAGAGGAGGAGGAGGAGGAGGAGGAGGAGGAGGAGGAGGAGGAGGAGGAGAAAGAAGAATAACAAAAAAGGATTGGAGAAAGACTCCGAGCCGGCCGGCAGCAGCAGCTGGCTGCCACCGCGCAGCCTTGGCCTGCTGCTCCGTCGGGGACGTCTCGGACTGCACCTCCGGGCTGATCGGCGAGAACGGCTCCTCGGCCACGTTGTCGTCCTCGAACGTGGGCGCCAGCCGGACGACCTTGTGGCCAGCGTCGCGAGTGGCGTCCCGAGGGATGCTGGCGCTCATCACCTCTGCACGGGGGCGGGCGGGTCGTCGGCAGGACGAGGGCAGGGCGCGTGGGAATGTCTGTCGGCTCCGCGGACCACCACACATAGCGATCCGGCTCGAAACGTGCAGCAGAAAGATGAGGGTTTGGGGCTCCAGTCGTGTCTTTTCGCGATGTTGCAGTTTGTTCGCAACGCCGGATCTCAGGGTGGGGAGAGAGGACGGCGGACCGAGGGCGAAGAGAGGACGACGCAGGGAAGGACGACGGGGAAGGAATGAGGGAGGCAACAACCATCGAGACCTCGACATTCAAACTTTGCTGCATGAGCTGCCATGGGGGGCAAATCAACGAACCAGCGACCGGAACGCGAACGGATTTCTGACAAGACGATTCCACACAAATTCAACACAATTATAAGACAACGTGCGTTCGATGAGAAGGCACACCTCGGAAAACTAATCACGCAAGGATAGCTGGTCGGCCATTCCCCTAGCACAACACATTGGAATTCAAGATTTCCAAGCATGCCCATCAACCCGCCCCAAAACCAACAACTCGGATAAGACAATTAGCCGTAGTCCGCTCGACATTTTGTGAATCGGCCCACCGCCCAGAGCCGACTCTGGAAATCGTAGTGTGCTTGTGGCATAGAGGCTGTTGGGGCGGAGAAGGGGGCGGGGGACAGAGGAGAGTGATAAGGGAGAGATGATGGAAATTAAATGGGGAAGAGGACGAGCGACTGTACCTTCCATGTTGTCTCAGCAGCGTCGCGACTAGGTGTGCAGGGCATGGATTGCAGTAGCAGGCACTTCGTGCCAGTTTCGTAATGAAGCGCGGCGCCAGGCGCGGCATGTATGATGACACGCAGCTCATCATAGAAACGAAATGACATGGCAATGCGTTTCGCTGCCTGCTCAGTGATCTGCTCTGGGTTGGCGTGTTACTCTGGCGAGCCAAGGTCAAGTCGGGTGAGGGGGTCAGGCGAAAAGAAACGAGCGGGGAAGAGCCAGGAAGTGGAGGAGACGCGGACAGGTGAGGTAATGGCCAAGGCGATCAGGACAATTTGCGCAACCGAGCAGGCACACCCTGCGTGGTCCTGAGGAGAAGCGGCGGCTGGTCCTTCACGCTTCCGCCAGAGTCTGAAACATGGACCAGCGTAGTGCAGGCGCTTTCTTCGAACAATGGCTTGAACACGTCTGCCAACGCTCCTGCAGGTCGTCAGGAGTCGGAACGTGGGGCAAAGCTTTGGCCGGGCGGCGTGCGTGTGTCTCAGCGACCGTGTCGAGGCAGAGGGAGGCGTAGAGCGAGGCAGGAAGGGCTCGCTGGACTCTCGCACGCCGCCCTTCTCACTCGCTGTGGTGGATGTCTCCCAGTCCGCTGCTAGCTTGGCTGTGCGCCACTTTGGGCGTGGGATATTGTACGGCAGCCGATCTGCCTGCAGTGACCTCCATTACTCAGTGATTCTCGAGCTCTTCCTACATGCGGGCGAGGGGACGGTGCCCCGAACGTGGACGCGGGTCAGGTCAGCCAGGGGCAATCTGGATGGCGCTGGTCCAGAGCAGCGAGAGTATTGGAAGCGTTGGGCCACGAGGGATTCGTGACTGAGGCCGCTCGCCAGGCCGACGCCAACGAATAGGGCGGAAACGCAGCAGGGGAGGAGTTCGAAGACCGCGAGCGAGCGCCGACGAGATTGACGAGGCGCCAGGAGTTGGAAGAGGCACGTCAATCTTGTGCAGTGCGCCGCGTGCGTGCCGGAGAAATGGAAAGGAACATACTGCGCGAGGTAAGACAGGACAGAAATGTTGCACGTGTTATAGAGCTTGATGGCCGCTGTTGGTCCTGCAAGAACCACGCGGCGTCGGAACGGGTTCCATGCCTGGGCCCCCTCGTGAGCTGAATGGCAATCCTGCGGAGGCTGGCCTGGTCCAGCTGCTTGATGTGGCCCTTCTCCTGGTTCCTAGCGGCAATGGCGATGCTGCGCTCTTAGTCGGTAGCAACTGCGCTGTTGATCGGGGCGTTGAACTCGGCGCGAGACATGAGGTGGGGGCTTCCGTGATTGATCTCGACGCGGTAGCGGCCCAGCTCCTTTGTCGCCATGGGGAAGGCCGCCGCGTCGAGATCGCGACGCCAGATCACTGAGGCAGTGGACCTCATGGTGATCGGGCGTCCGATGTGACCCACTGACTATGGTCCTTCAGTGCGGCCCGCTGCTGAAGATCCCGCTCGAACCGAACCGCCTCCTTCATGGTGGGCCAGAGTAAAGTTGGCCTGTGCGACGTGGGTCTCCAGGAACTGGAAGTGCGTCTGCAGGGGCGGGTCATGGAAAATGGTGGGATCGATGGCCTGCTCCTAAGTCTGCGCAGCGGTGGCTGAGGTCAGCGACGGGTGCAGGATGCCGTGGTCACTGATGCCCATCTCAGAGAGAGCAGCTCCGCTTTTCAAGATCTTTAGGTTGGCGTCCACGTCGATGGGGCCAATGCAAGTCAATGAGATGAAGATGCGGTCGATGGCTGTGGCGGCTTTTGCGTTCGCCGAAACATGCGTGGTCAGGTACTCTGGGATCTCGGTCATGAAAATGAAGAGTTGCCTCCAGCGTGCTTGTTTTTGTTGGTATTGAGCACCTGGGGCCTTCGGTCGCAGGCGTGTCCAAGCCGTTGAAAGATGAGATGGTGCTCGTGGTGACATCGCCAATTGCCGCGAACATTCTCCGCGCCAGGCTGCTACGCGCCCGTCAGAACGCGCGGCGCCACGCAGCAGCAACCGTGCCCATTCTGGGAAAATATCATGTTTGTGGGCGCTCGCGATCAGCATCTCGAACCCCGCGCAGTGGTTGGCGATGTGCAGCGTCGCTACTCGGCCACATGAAGTGGCGAGGAGCTGGCGGGATACCTTTAAAATTGGTGGAGTTGAAGAGGGGCCCATAAAAAAAAGGCGACGCATACGCACTTGCCTGTGTTGCCCCCGCAAACGTTGAAGACACTGTCGTAATGGTAAGGCAGCTGGGAACCGTGAGCACCCTGCAGGATTTTGACTGCTGTAGTTGTGAAGAAGTTGGTGGGCTGCCGTATTTTGGCCCATCGCCTGCGAGTGTCGTGGCAGAGAAGAACTCTTGCGTTCCATCATGCCAGGTGACCAGTGGAGGCCGATGGCGAAGTTACGCGCGTTGAAGAAGTAGAAGAATCCGTATGCGACGTTGGCGGAGAAATTTGAAGGAGGACTTGTCGGAAGACTTGTAAGATTTGAAGGAATACTGTGGGAAGCGGAGGTAGACTTGTAGGAAGACGATGATGAAAGGCTCGATAAGCCCAGCGAAGACGTGCGCGACGAGGAAGAGGACTCCGACGATGAGAGGCATGTTTGAGAAGAGCGATCAACCGCGCTTCCACGCTTGGCGATTCCCAGCTGATGGTGGGGCTTGCCCATCCCAATTTCAAGAGCACAGTCCACTGCGTGCCCGTCATTGGAAATACTCACCCCAAGTTTGGAAGTGCCAGCCCAACATCTGAAGCACGGCCCACAGCATACTCACAAACACATCCCATTGTCTTGCTCTCAATCTTTTGTCCAAGGAGAAAAGATGCGCATGTGGATGTGGACCTGGCCGAAGAGGTTGCGAGTGCCCCGCGTGTTCTCCTACTGGCACTTGACGTGGAGCTTGTCGGTCAAGTGTGGTGAGATAGTGTTCGCGGCTCGCGACCAAGACGCCTGGTCTTGAACGGCGTTCATTCCTGATCGTGGTCGCCCACGAAAGTCCGCCGCTTGTTGAATCCATTGCGCGTTGTCCTCAGAATGGCAGAGAGCAACGAACTGTTGACTGGAATCTTGGCCAGAACCTCCTGGTTCGCGAAGAGGTTTGTAGAATGAAACTGCGGTTGGGACCTTCACCGTGGATCTTGTGTTGCTGCCCTGCAGTGTTGGTAGCTGTGACCCATTCCCCACTGGCAGAGATAACTGATGCAGTGGCCACTTGCTGCGCGCGAGATAAGGTGAAGACGGCGGAGTCAGGGTCGCGTCCCCGACGGGAAAGCTTGGCCATGTCGCGGATGGGCGCGCCCGCCTCGGGGGGGCCGGGCTGCTGGTCGGCGCGGGCAAAGGCGACCCGGATTTCTTCCAATCGGGACTAGTGTAGAGCTTGTGCCTGACATCTTGTTCTCGACCGTCCAGGCATCCCGTAATGGCGGCTTCGTGCAAGCTGGGCGCAGTGGGTGCCTGTCCCTGTGCGTTAGAGATGGTTGAACGGCGGAGGCGATATCGTTGATTCGCTGGCCCATAAGGCGCGTGAGTTCTGCTTGGATGTTCGGTTCCAGCGAGGGCGCGGCTCTGGAGCTGCGTCCGAAGGGTGTCCCAGTGCGGCGTCGGGAATCGGAGTGGCGGAGCCTTCTGCTACAGCCGCGGCGTGCTGTCCGACTCGGTGAGCCCTGCGAGCTGCTTCTTAAGCTTGGTGTTCTTGCGTGGGAAGCGCGGGTGCCTCTTCCACTAGACGTAGCTGTTCGCGTTGCCATCATTGTTGTTCGGCGGCTGAGTGGAAGCCGTGCGGAGCTTCGGCTGGTTCCCGCCGAGAGGTCCCAGGGATCGACCACTTCGTCCTGGAGAGGGGGCGTCCTGTCGATGGTCAGGAGGGCTGAGCTGTCAATCGCGTGCTTTGTCTCTGTCTCAGTCTCGTTCGCGGTCTCCGTCGCGGTCTCGGTCGCGCCGTTCTCGGTCGCGGTGTTGGCCCCGCCGAGAACATTCCCGTTGATCCCTGCAACTGCTGGCGGCGCTGCGGCTCTTGCGGTCGCTGCAGGAGGAGCGGGTGTCTGTGTCGCTGCCCATGTCAAATCTGTCAGGCATGCGAGACCACGAACCACCTGCCCTGTGCCAGTGGATAGAAGAGCCACGCCGACGATATGCATGCGAATTGTCTGAAATGAGAACGGTGGGAACGAGGAGTTCGCTGTGTTCGTGAATATGGAAGAGGAACCACGGGCTGACCAGCATCGCCGCCGTTGTAGGCCTTGTCGTCGTCATGGTCATCGTCGTCGCT